TGTTTATATCAGATGTATTTAGTTTCATGCAAACTTGCAGAACTGCTTTCAGTTGGTGGTAAAATCGCATGTTTAGAAAAGAACAAAATTAAGGCATTGGCACAAAGGGTGTCAATACTTTACAATCTCACCTGCCTGGGGCAGACAACAGCTAACAACGTCAAGTTATTTTTCTGTAACCAATGCAGTCACGTCCGCAGCAGCTACCACAACAAACAGCACAGCATCAGCCGGAGCAAACGCTAAAACACAAAACATCAGAAAATCAAGACTGTCTTCGAACAACATTTGGACCCAATGCAGCACTGCATGCGGAGGTGCTCTGGTGTCTGAACATAGCCGTGCAAAACCAGTCATACGCTACTAATGAAGGTGTATCTGAATTGTTTCAGGCAATCTTTCCAGATTCAGAAATAGCCAAATCTTTAACCTGTGGAAAATAAATCTAGCACACTTATGGCTCCAATGCTAAGAAAATCTAATACTCTAAGAAAGACGTACAACTGAAAAATATGGAATCAGGACTCCAACCAACTGAGAGGCGTGCATTAATCTTTTCCAAAAAAAACAAAAGAAGTGTATCCTTGGTACCATATGTAGCATGTTTGGTAGCATTTTCCATTCATATTCATTTTTTTTAGCATGTGTTTTAGTATCTACTGTTTTCAAATATTTCCAGCCAAGTTCCATTTCACTTTCAGTGCTCTGTCTTAACATCTTCTCAAGGCCGTTAGAATACATAGATATTTTTAGAGTCTCTCTCTCTCTCTGTTGTCATGGGTACTTTTTTACGGCATTATAATAATTTCAAACAGCATTAAATTAAAGTTACTAATTTCTGTATAAACCCTGTAATATATTTGTCATGTTTGAAGCAGAGACTCTTCAGGAGTAAATGAAGAGATACACTCTGATCAGTGTTTTCTTGGTTTGTTTGATGTCTGATTGGCTGGTTTTAGATTTGGACACGTCTTATTTATTATTTCTTAGAGAATTTCTTGTTTTTAAGGTCTTTACCTGATCATAGCTGATCTGTTTGTCGGCTGGCCAGCTAGCAAAAAGTCCATCTCTGATCTAGGAAAGGAGTTTGAATCGGACGTTTTTCTCGTTGCCAAGGAAACGTTATTAAGCAGCTGATTTTATGCTAAATGTCTCACAGCAGCTCAGCCTGTTTGCCTGAAAGTCACCTCTCTGCAGTAACAGAGCAGAATCGGAGCTCTGCTCTTTTCTTCCCTGCTGCTGTTACTGCAGGGCAGGTGGGGGAGGGGCCTCCTCATCCCTCACTCACTCCTCTGTCTCCATCCTCTCAGGTGTAACGTTCAACGGGCCGTCCTCCTCCCAGCCTGCTGCTGACATCAGCACCCAGCAGACCAACGGCTCTGCCCCCAGCCCGACTCAGAGCTCCGGTAACAAGGAGTACAGCCGGCAGCTCACAGCGCTCAACTGCTCTGTGCGCGACTGGATCACCAAGCATGTGAACAGCAACCCTCTGTGCGACCTTAACCCCATCTTCAGGGATTACGAGCGGCACCTCGCCAGCATCGAGCGGCAGTATGGAGCGGGCTCTGCCGACGGCGGCTTGGAAAAGAAGCAGGGATCTACCCCTCCTCCTCCTTCCTCCTCCAGCAGCGGCTCAGCAGCTCCGTCAGCTGCTTTGTTCTCCTTCAGCAAAACCACGACAGAGGATCCAGCTCAGAAAAGCTCCAGCTCTGCTCCCATCCCTGCCGGGGTCACTTTCAACTTCGGTGAGAAGGTGGACGGCTCCGTCCTGGGATCGCTGGCGTCTAAAACATCTATCCCCAGCTTCTCCTTCTCCTCCTCCTCGTCCAGTCAGACCTCCCTGTTTGGAGCTTCAGGACCTGCTGCTCCGCTGCCCTTCGGTGGGAATAAAACCCAAAACGCTGCAGGTCTGCAAAACATCCCCTAAAAACTTTTTTTCCCTTTTAATCTTTTAAAACATTCTGGATTTTATGTTTCAGACTTTTTATTCAGTCAGCAGGAATTTTGCAACTTAAATGATGCTAAACTGTGTTTAGATGAGATGTTGCTGACAGTTAATGGCAGGTGAACCTGGTGCTTTGGTTTCTCTGTCCGTTTCCAACAATAGGAATGTTTTTATCTTTTTCTTGAACCAGAAGACAATGCAGAGGAAGAGTCGGAGGAGCCCCCAAAACCAGAGGTGAAGGAGGTGAAAGAGGACGACGCTTTCTATTCAAAGAAGTAGGTCTGAAAAATCTCTGGTTGATCTCAGAAATCATTAGAAACAGAAGAAAAAAACTGAAACTTTTAGTTCAGAGGTCATGGATTAGCGGACTGCAGTCCGGATCCAACTGCTGGCTAATTTAGACCCAACCTGATTTAAAACATTTATGAAGTATCGCATATTTTCTGACGACAGTATCTAATTTCACTTGCGCCTCTTCTCCTGTTAATACGGTAAAGCCCTGGGGAGCGTCCGGCTCCAGGCTGCACGTGATCCAAATGAGCCAATGAGCTGTCAGTCTGGGTTGCTGCTGCTGCTACTTTTAGACACAGCAGGCAAACCTGTGGCAAGCCGGGCGATGGGAAAGAAGGAGAAGACCATGAGAAAAAGAGAGCAGAGAAAGTGTGGACTGCTGGAAGAACTGCGGTGAACTGGTGAAAGAAAAGTGAAATGGCGTGCTCAAAGATGACCCTGCACATTTAGAGGATGTTTGGCTCAACCTGCTGCTGTGAAGCAGGATTCTCCACCATGAACAGAATCAACAATAAATCTGGATCCAGGCTCAAAATGAGCTCCTTGATATGTGCTTGAGAATGGCTTAGTCTCCGGTTAAACCCAGGTTTAAAGCCTTGCAGGGCAGCCTAAAGCCCACTGCCAACATTAAGACAGAAAAAAGAAAGAAAATAACAAACCATCAGTTCAGGGGTTTGAGAAAATATGGGAATAAGGAAATTATCTATAAACCAAACTGAACGATTGTTGTTCTCTACTTCAAAAACACTTTAGATTTTTAAATTGAAAAAAAAAAATTTCTAAATTTTATTTAAAAAGTAATTTAATTCATAAAAACGTCCTCTTATTTCAGTGTTAAATTCTGTTTAAAGTAAAAGATTATAATTAGAAATGTATCCAGACCTTCACTGGTTGATTTTCTTTATTCGGACCCTGCTGATTTTTAATCGGTTTAAATGAAAGTGACCCCAAATAAAAAAAAAAACATTTTATGGTAATTTAATATAAATTTTTGTAAAACTTCTCTGGACGCTTGGGTCAGTTCCTGTTTTCAGGGGGATATCGGATCTTATCAGGAGAATGTTTGTTTAAGTAGGCATTAAGTCGATCTGTTTAACGGAACATAGAGAAGCTGCAAACCAGAAGGGGAACACATTTCTATTCGAGCAGGATGTCATGTTTGTTTTGTTTTCCCCACTGTTGATCTATCATTTCTCTCCTGTCCCCATCAGGTGTAAATTATTCTACAAGAAGGAGTCGGAGTTCAAAGAGAAAGGAGTGGGAACGCTCCACCTCAAACACACCGCTGAGGGGAAGACTCAGATGATCGTCAGAGCCGACACCAATCTGGGTAAAAATATAAAAATCTGACTTTCCTCAGCCTGTCAGCGAAACATGTTTCAGATGTTTAAATGGGCCACCTTAGGAAGATGGGAGTCACAGATTCAGATCAAATAGTAAAAGTCCAGCTAAACACATTTATTTACACTAAAGGAGTTCAAGTGTTTTTCTCTTAACTTTCACTGAGGCTTAAAATCTCATTAAAACCCCAAATTCAGTGACCAATATTTTAATTTAAGGTTAATCGTGCAATAAACGGCTGTTTAAGTGGATTTCCTCTGGTCAGCGCGTTCAGAGCCACCGCTCATTCAGATGAGCTACATTCCTGCTGTTAGAGCGTCTCACCTGGGCTTCCAGAACCTTCACACAACCGCAGATGAAGCAGCTCCCAACGCTGGAATTACTCAGCCAGTCTCTACGGGCGAATTGTTTTATTTGATGATCCTCCTCAGTCACCACAGTTACTTCAGTCACTGTGAAAAATAAAACATAAAATAATTAGAATACAAAACATAAACTTACTATACAAATAAAACCAGACGCACCTCACTGCTTTCACTGGGGATCATTAAGTGTTGATTGCTTAACGACAAACATCTTGACTGTTCAAGTCATTCATTGGTACAATGATTCTACCAGCTTTTATAGGGCCTGCCCTGATTAGCTACGGCACCCTGTGAGGGACAAAAAACCCTTAAACATTACAAGGTACAAATACCAATAAACAGAGCAAATATAAAACCACAAACAATGCTAATCAAAACAAACGTCCATAAACTATCTGCAATATTTAGAAAATTCACTTCCAGTAATTTAAATTAGTCTACAAAAAATAAATTAGGCAATTAATTTTAAATAGCTCACTAAGATACTCTATAGAAGATGCTGTGTATATATGCTATACAGTACAGCAACATTTGTTTCTATAGTTTCTAATAGATTAAATTTAGTTTTTATTGGTTTTGAGTTATATTTAATCTGCAAATATAAATGATAGAAATTTTCCAAACTGAAATATTTTTTTGTGTGTGTTTTTTTTTTTTCATTTCTCTTTTTAATTTACTGGATTAAATTGTTTAAATTATTGGCTCTGATAAGTCCATCATGTTTGAAAGAGGAGCTGTTCAGTGGCGGCCACCAGGTGGCGCCCCAGTGGGTCCTCTTCTGATGAGTGTAGGACTGAGATCCCTGTCCAACTTAAGCCGCTCCAGTTTCACCTCATTCAACACTGAAAGATTGAATGTTTGATTCAGGGTTTGAAAGTTTGGACAGATTTTTCTTCATAAATGTGTTTTCATCTTTAAATCAGACCCTGGCATTTATTAAAGCCCCCCCCCCATTGAAGGGAGTCTGACTTCTCTCAGGGACTCAGGATAATTATTGCTGAATCTCATTCCTCATGATCGAGCTGCTGAGGAGGCAAATGAAAGCAAACATTTTTCCAGGTTTGTTCTAGAAACAGGTTTTGTCTCGCTGCTGATTCACAGCTGTGGTCAAACGGCTCCACCTGCTGCTCAAACAGAGGAACTGCACAACAGAACTTGTATTAAATCCAAAAAGTAAAACTGCTGGGAGGTTTTAATCGGTTAATACAGAATTTGTTTGTGAGCTTTGGTAACTTTTATTATCCTAAATGACAGATTTTATTTTTGATAAATTAAAAGAAATTTCTGTTTTGTCGTGGTTAGGAAACATCCTGCTGAACATCATCGTCCCGCCTGCTATGCCCTGCTCACGGGTTGGGAAGAACAACGTGATGGTGGTCTGCGTCCCGAACCCGCCGTTTGACGACAAGAACCCGAGCACCCCCGTCCCCCTCCTGATCAGAGTGAAAACCTCCGAGGATGCAGACGAGCTCCATAAGACCCTGGAGGAGAAGAAAGGCTGAGCCCCCTGCTACCGGAACCCACCTGCACCGCCCTCCCTGAGCTTTTAACAGGCCCCGCCCACTCATCCTCCCACTCTGTCGTACCCACTCATCCCCGTAGAGCTGTTCGGTCATCATGCTGTGAAATGTTATTGTTCAAATCAGAAGCAGGTCGTTGTGTGACTTTATTCCCCTCTGGTTCCACGCTGCTGTCCCAGTTCTGTTTTAATCCGGACGTCACCGGACCGAAGCGTGAACCCAGACGAGTTGCTTTGTTTGGGAGGGGGGGGGCTCTAATCTAAGGGCCAGTCAATTTGGTTTTACAAATTAAACACCTGCAGTCACAGTTAGATTTTTTTTTTTTCTATGAATATTTTAAGGAGCGTTTAGAGTGAAACTGCTGAGTGAATGTTCTGGAAACTATTTATTACGTCTGCAGGATTTTTACTCTGAGAGAAGCTCGACTGAATTGGTGTGGGAGTGTGAAACGGACCACTTTTACTTTGTTGTCCTGTTAACAAACTGTGGCTTTCCAAGTGTCCTTTGTTCGGCCTTCAGGATGAGACCGTCATCGTCTGACAACATTTGTAAAGAATAAAAGGAAATAACAATCCTGGCTGATCAGCTGTGATTATCTGCTTTGGTTCTGAATGTTTTTCTACCCGCTTTATATCCAGACACTTAGAAACACAGGAGTTATGAATAGGAGTTTTTTTTTTTTACAAAGTCTTGCATAACATTTATTTACAAGTATGCAAATTATGCTCCAAAATCATCGACTCCTTTAACCCAAAAAAAAAGTTTTGCGTGAACAGTTTTTTTAACAGTCTGTGGAAGTGGGGCTCAGACTCAGAACCTCAGGATTCCAAGATCTATGCTCTTACCACTCAAGTTGATCACATTTTAACCCAGTGGGACTTTTTTCTGTCTTTTTAGCCAAAAGCTTGACTTCATATAAGCATTAGCTAATTCCTGCATATTTCACAGGCTGTAGATCATTGATCAACCTGAGGTTGATCTTTGGCCCTTTTTGTGTGGTGTCCCTTAAAGCACACACTCCTGGTGAAATCTGTCTTCTGCAACTCTCCATAACCCAAAAAGCCTTTTTTTCTTTTTTTTTAAAGACACGTTTTCCTTTTACTCAACTTTATAAACTGATATAATTGGATAAACCCCCCCCCCCCCAGTTAACACCTAGATTATTCAGATCTCCTTGTGGCTAATATTAACTAAGCATAACATTTTTAAAGGCCATAATTTAAGAAATTATATATATTTCTTTCAAATTTCAGTACAAATATGCCAGACTTAGACTTTGTCATTTTGTACAGAGGGTGTATACAAAATGAAATGTCATTCAGTACAGCTCTCATGACATTTCCATTTCTAAAGTGCAGCAGTGATAAAATATAAACAAATGTAAACATAAGACATGATTTACAGTTTTCCAACATTCAGAGCTTTTTTTTTTTTTCTAAGTTCCCCATTATTTTAGGGGTGTCTCATTTGTTAGGGGAACCTTATAGAACTTAATAGCAATAAATAATTAAATTGTATCCTAGTGCTTTAAACCTGGGAACAGCAGAAATGTGGTGGACTGTAACCTTTAATCCACATGTTGGGTTTTCCCATCACTTCGCCCTCCCCCTCTCTGAGCAAAGATTGGGACGCCCCTAGCTGCTGGAGGAAGGGCTGAAAGGTTCCGACTTTAAAGTCCAACGGTAACAAGATGGCTGCGCAGATAAACAAAGAACCTTATAAGTGTGAGTATTCCTACCAGAATCTGTTGATTCTATCGCTTTAAATGCTGAAAATGAAGCTACCGAGCGCATCCCGGTCCCTGACATGAGCCGCCATCTTTGACAGGGCATAAAACGCTAAGGTTTGCTGATAAATGTGGCACATTAGCTGACCGTGTTGATTCTGAGTCTTTACCAAACGTTCCGAGGCGCAGAGAGAGAAAATGTTCGAGATAAATGGAGTTTAATGAAGCCGGGATGCGTGTTTTAAAGAGCGGCGGTTGTTTCTGAGCAGCAGGTGTTGTGCTCGGCTTGGTTATCGTGGAGCTGAGAGGCGACGGTTAAACGGAGGAGACCGAAGTGAACACAACACCGGCTGGGAAGCATAGGGGATCTGGAATCTACTACATCCGGTTAAAATCTCAGAGAGACGCTGCAAACCTGTTCTGATGGGGCCGACATGTTAGAAAAAAATAATTTATACAATTTAAATTTAATATAAAAGTTTTATTTTAAAACAGAGTGTGGCCTCTTTAAATGGGAGAGGCAGCCTAGTTGATAGGTCATAGAGCTTGGAATCCAGATGTTCTGAGTTTGAAACCCACTGCCGCAGGCAGTCACTCTGGGTCCCTGAGCAAGACCATGGCAGCCAACTGCTTTAATTAAACCGAAGCCAAGAGTAACGAGTAACGTTTGATTTAAAAATGTAAGGAATAGAAAGTACAGATACTGGTGTGAAAATGTAATGAAGTCAGAAGTAGGAAGAAAAATAAGTAATTTAGTAAAGTATAGATACCTTAAAAGTGTACTTAAGTATAGTAACGAGGTATTTGTACTTTGTTACTTTACACCTCTGGTGTTGCAATGCGATGGACTGGCGATCTTTCCAGAGTGGACCCCGCCTTTCACCCACTGACAGCTGGAGATGGGGGCTAGCACCCCTCGCCACCCCAGCAGGGATGGATGGAAATGGATATTTGCACCGAATAAAGTCTAATGATTTATTTTCTAGAATCAATTCACACTAATATTCAAAGGAAACTAAACTATTGTCACAATAGATGTTTCTCATCTCCATAAAAAAGCATTAAACATTTATATTAATGCCACATTTCCAACATGAACCTTTTCCAGGGACTCCAATAGAAACTCGGCGTCTGATTCGCTTTCGGGCCGAAAACGAGCAGCTTTTCCTCAAGTCCAAGAACAATGTTAAATTAATGTGGGAGTGAGTAATAATTTAAATATTAATAACAGGAAAACAAAAACAAGCTGCTTCGTCTCCCTTTTAACGTGACAGTTTCTGTCTCTGAACAGGAATTTAATCCGGGAGCTGGACCTGGAGGGGAAGGTGACGTCCCAACAGGTTTCCAAGAAATGGGAGAATCTAAAAAAGAAGTACAAGGTGAGAAATGTAGACGGGTGTGTAGGGCTGGGTATTTTCACCGAAGTCCTGAATCGATTCGATTTTGATTCATACATTTCTAAATCGATTAATTTCAATTCCATCTGTTTTTCAAAAATGAAAGAGGTTCAACTGCATTTCAAAATACTTGTTTTTTTTTCCTGTCACATTAAACACAAAGTGCAAACTTGTAAATCGGACAGTTTAAACTTGAGATGTGAACAAAACTGTCTCAAAAGTGCAAACTTGTTTTTGCAAAGTGAAAAAGTGAATCCTCACTCGAGCGAGCAGACGAGACACAGCAGACATGCATGAGCTGCACTGCACAAACCATATTTGCAGCGTTTTCTGTAACAACTACAGGGTGTTTTCTGCTCAGCCTCCATTCGTTAATGTCTTCAGTCAACCTGTTGGCCATATTTGCAGCTGTCTGGCTTGAAGTCATCTTGAGATCATCTTTCCTGCTCATTTGAATGTGAACGTTACGCGGGTCACTATAAAACAAATCAATCTTATTTCCCAGACATCGATTTTACAAAAATCTAAACGACTCGATTCAAAATCGATTTTTTTACCAAAATCTATTTTGGAGTCTCAACATATTATTACATATATTTGCTATTATTTTAAGTTTCACTGGCGATCTAAAGTAAGTAAAGTAGATCTAAGACAGATTGAGCTCTGCCATTTAAAATGTCTCAGCTTATTTTTATTCTTTTTATTAAGATCTGAGGTCAGAGGAGGAAAAATGGAACATCTTAAAAAAATGACTTTAATAGAGATTTAAAAAAAATAAACCTGTAGAAAATGAACGGTTGTTGTTGATACTAATTTAAAAGTAGTGTAGCTTAATATGGCTAACTGAGCGAGCTAAAAGAGGCTAACCTGTTAGCCTCTTTTAGCTCCTCCCCTTCATATCATGGTCTAACAGTTACTCTGTTCACCAGAAACAGATTTATTTCAACGTTCAGCCAATCATGTAGCGTAACGTCACTGGCAGGACGCAGGACCTGAGCGGATCTGTTAGCTACAGCGGTTCTCATCTCCTTTTTTCCTCTCAGGATCTACAGATGCTGAAGGCGGGATCTGCAACGGATGGAGGCGAGGTCACAGCTGTGACCTGGCAGTATTTTGATGACATGCACGAGGTGTTGGGTGGGAAAAGGTCTCCGAAGACGCCTGCTCTTGTTGCGTCCTTTAACGCAGATCCAGATCCCTTACCAAACTTTGAAGTGAAACAGGTCAGTTCTAAGTTTTTATCTCCAAACTGCATCGATACACAGAGAAATAAAGCGTTTGTATCTCTGATATACTGATATAAAAACAATCACTGGTCTTTGTTTCCGAGTTTGAAGACATTTCGCTTTCCATCCAGGAAGTTTTTCAATGCAAAATGTCAGAAATAGATGTTTTCTAGACCTTGTTTTGGCTTAGAAAACAGGCAAATTAAACCTGATGAGTGGGCCCACCCCTAGCTAGCATGTAATTCCTGAAACCTGCCAATGTCTCTAGACATTTTACTTCCTGGATGGGAAGCGAAACGTCTCTGAAACAAATTCCAGTGGATTGTTTTTTTTAATTTTTTTGGAATGACTATGAACTGGATGACTGAGAATCTTCACCAGCAGTTTGTATCTCTGGTTTTTCTTCAGGAAGAGTTTGAGGTCAAAGAAGAAGCGGGCTTCTCCTCGGGAACGCCGTCTCCCATCCCTCCTCTGGACTCCCCGACTGCTTCCCCTAAAAACAAGCGAAGGAGACGGACCAACCCCATTTTGGACTTTCTCATGGAGGAAAGCGCTAAAGAACAGAAGCGACACGAGGAGAGCGTAGCCAAGATCGAGCGCTTTCTCAACCTCTTTGAAAAACTGATTGAGAAAATTTAATCCAAACTACTTTTGGTGAAATTGAACCAATACTTCCTGTTTAATTATTTGTTTTAAGAATACGGTTTTTTTTTATTTAAATAAAAAAAATGTTTCAAGATTTTCTGAATATTTTAGTTTTTTCTGTATTAAATATTTGAGTTAAAGTAAAGAATCTGTGATGATAGAGCCAGTTCATCCTAGAATGTCTCATAGGAGCCGTCGGGACTTCCAGGTTACTTTATTGGTGCTAGCTGGTAAATAAGGAAGTCACAGGCTAATTTCCTAGATCTTAAGGAGTCATTTGGCCTGGTGAGACCATCCTGATCTCGCAAGCTTTCAAGGTTTCACTCGCAGGTCAGTCTGGAGACTCTCCGTTAAAGAAAATTTGGAGCCGTTCACCAAACGAACGTCCAATCAGCGTTGGCTTTGAGGCGGGTTGAGGTGTGACGCAACGAGAAGCGCGACAGTTCAGTCTAAAGAACATGGCGGCTTCAGCCGATGAAACTAGCGTTAGCGTGGCTATCGAGCAAGTTTTATGGGAATTACAGAGTATTTCTTCACTGAAAGAAGAGCAAAACACTGCTCTGGAGGCTTTTCTCAGAGGAAAAGATGTTTTTGCTCTTCTCCCGACTGGTTTCACCAAGAGTTTGATCTATCAATTGGCTCCTCTTCGTCGTCGCTCTGTTAGTACGTCATATGCTTCGTTGATCTGATTGGTTTATTTGGCCCGTCTATCACCAACATAGGCCAATCAGCTAACCAGTATTTTCGCCCCTTCCCAAAATTACTTCAACGGAAGGTTTCCAGATGGATATGCGGAGCAGATCCATCTGGCGGAGTCAGGTTAGGAGTTATTACCACTTAGGATAAATGCAGGACAGTAAGGCAGGATTGAGGAGAAGAAGGATGAAAATTCTCGAGCTGAAAGATATAATTATGTTCTGTGAGGTCCTGATAGTTATGTCAAACTTCCAGTAAGGTAACCTGGGAATATGGTTCATATTTATACTGTCCATTAAGGCAGGAGTCTTCAACCTTTTCCAGGCCAAGGACCCTAAACTGATGGGATGGGACAGGTGTTGTGAATGAAACGGTGCCCAGATTGAAAGAGCTCCTGTGTGTCTCTGAATGTGAGCATTGATGACTGAAAGACATCTTCTGCCTCCATTTATCTGTTTACTACAGTCTGTTGGATTTAAATCCACATGAACATGAATCCATTTCAGTTGGTGGAAAAAATTGCAGAGGAATATAAAAAAGTCTAATCAACCAAAACGTTCGTAACCCCCCATGCAGTACCTCCGTGGACCCCCTAGGGGTCGCTGACCCCCTGTTAAGGACCTCTGCACTAAGGCATTAAGTTGATTTTAAATGACAGAAAAGGAGATGTTATTCCTGCAGCTCTGGCGACATGTTCCTGGCAGCCAGTTCATCTCTGGTGGCGTCTCCAGGCGTCTCATCGTCTGTCAGGACCTCCTGAAAAGTAGACGAGGCAGTAGCGTCCTCTGCTGTGTCATCTTCCGGTTCCAGAACGTCCGCATTGTCCAGACACAAATTATGCAGAAAAGCACACGATGAAACAACCTGAGTCGCAAACTCCGGTTTAACCTCCAGGGCGCTCGATAAGGTAGACCTCCATCGAGTCTTCATCACTCTGAACGCCCTCATGGCCGCGCTGCAGGCTTTAGAATGATGCAAGTTGAAGAGCTTCTGTGGCGGTTGGCTTACAGGCTCTGTGTAAGGTGTGATCAGACGGATCGGGGAGTCCAGGCAGGGGTAGCTTTTATCACCCAGGAGGATGTAACCAGGAGGAGGGTAGCGTCTCGCCTGGTAAAAGCTGCTGTTCCTCATGATTCTGGCATTGGGAACTGATCCTGGGTGACCAGCCAGGATGTCCAGGAACCTTCCGTCGGAATCAAGGATAGCCTGCATGCTAACTGAATGAAAACCCTTCTCATTGATGTAATCAAAGTGGTGATATTGAGGAGGTTTGATCCTAATATGTGTGCAGGAGATCACGCCTACAACTTTGTCAAACGCCGCCGTCCCAGACCGCTCCACAAACCCTTGTCCAACCCGGTGTAGATCTTCTATACGAGGGAAAGAGATGGCCGTGTTGAAGTGCAGCCATATCCTCTCAGCAACAGTATGGATGATGCGGTAGATTGTGGATTTCGGTACATTAAAGACCCTAGAAACAACCCGGTAGGAGAGTCCGTGAGCCAGCCAGTAGATGTAGATCAATACCTCCAGCTCGTTGCCCCAGCCGTGATCCTGGTCCTTCTGCAGGAGCCTCTGCAGGGCGTGCATCACTCTTCTGCTCAGGCGGAAATCCTGCTTCAACTCGGACTCCACGTTGAACCACAGACGGAGGATGGGAACGTTATGGTTCAGCCGGCAGTACGTTGCTGGATTAGAAGTCTGAAGAACATAAAAATGGGGAAAATAGAAGTTTATGGAGAAAAGGATCAGATGCTTTGTCTTCCAAGTGAAGCCAACGGCCGCCATATTGGTACTCCCTAGTTAGAGTGGATGCAATGTAAACAATCTGTGCGCTACAGTATCAAACAAGATGATGTTCTCATTTTCAGGGACTTAAGATTTAAGAGAATAAAGTCATAAAATAACGGGAGTAAAGTTTAAAAAAAAATTATGGAGGATATAGCCACAATGAGAATAGTCATAAAATTAAGAGAATTAACATCATAAAATTATGAAAAGTAATATTATGAGAATAAAGTCAACAAATTATGAGAATAAAGTAAAAAAAAATGAGAATAAAGTCATGAAATCATGAGAATTAATAAAAATTAGAAGAATAAAGTAATGAAATTATGAGAATAAAGTCATGAAATTATGAGAATAAAGTCATGAAATTATGAGAATAAAGTCATGAAATTATGAGAATAAAGTCAGCAAATTATGAGAATAAAGTAAAAAAAATTATGAGAATAAAGTAAAAAAAATTAGGAGAATAAAGTCATGAAATTATGAGAATAAAGTCATAAAAATTAGGAGAATAAAGTCTTAATATTAAGAGAATAAAGTTGTAATTTATGATAACTCTTAGAAGAAGCTCTAAATGAGGAATGTGGAGCAGGTCTGTCGCCATCTGCTGGTCGGAGGTCGAGGGTTCCTCTCTGAAGCGGGTTGTGGTCTGATGGCTTCACTCTCGTTATGACTCTATTCGCATAATATAAATAATCTCTAGCCTGGCCCTAATATTCCGACGTAAAGAGAAATGAAATTCCCTCTCTGCATTTATCGCATCCCCTTGGGAAGCAGCGGGGCTGGCGCTGCACAGGTCTTTGCTCAGGTAGCCAGAGTGGCAGCCTGTGGGAGTGGGGTTCGAACTCACAACCTCAGGCTTCCAGGCTCTATGTCCTAACCCAGTGTTTTTTTTAACCCTGGTCTTCAAGGCACCCTGCTCTGCATGTTTTGGATGTTTCTGAGCTTCAGCACACCTGATTCAGATGATTGCAGTTCAGCAAAGCCTGATGATCTGGTATCAATTGATCACAGGTGTGTGGAAGCTGGGAAACATCTAGAACATGCAGGGCAGGTGCCTTCAGGACCAGGACTGAAAAACACTGCCTAACCACTAGGATAGAGAAAGGTTGAAAGGGATCTAAAGACTTACTTCAGACTTATCCAGCAGCAGCAGCAGCTGGCGGAGGCGTCTTCTTCTTCTCTCACGCCTCCGTGTCGCTGCGGATAACCGTAAAAAGATGGCTGCGGCGAAAGCTAGGGAAAGGCGGACAGGAGCGGACGGCATGATGGAGCTGCCAACACGCCGCGTCTGTTTACAGTGGAGGAGAACAGTTCCTGGAGGGGGAGGGGTCACAGCTGGTGCTCCGAACGGGATTGGTCAGATCTGAATTCGTAGGCGGGGCTTGGAAAAAAAAATTACAGAGCAGAAGAAAACACTGCCATCTGCTGGAAAAAAATAAACCCAACGCTTTATAAATAAGAACTAATAAGTTAAGAAATAAAAGTATAAAAAAATCCCCGACAACTTATTAATAGGTATAAAATGTCTTTTCATTAATCCCACATTTCTGTATCTTTTTAATTAGGTAATTTATATTTTTTCGTGTTTTATAAACTTAATATAAAATGTAAATCAATTAGTGAGCTGAGTTACCAAAATAAAGTGAATTTTCATTAATATTAAAAATGCTTAAATATTAAAAAATATTTCAAGGTTTAGACTGAAAATATCTTGCAATTTATAGGTTTATACACTGGGATACATTACCCAGCAAAACAGTGACTGTATGTTTCACTAATGTCATGTCTTTATGTACATCTAAAAATACTTTCATCCTACTAAAAAAGTTGTAAATATTCATTTCCAACATATTTACATTAAAATACTTTTTATAGAGTAATTTGACACAGGGGCGCATTTAGTAAATGTGGGGCCCTAGGCAAAGACAGGCAGGG